TGTGCCGGGAGGACTCAGCCCAGCCCATCCTCAGCGGCTCACACTGCCCTGCTTAGCCTTTCCCACGGAAACCCCAGTGGAGGCTCTGGCCCAGGCCTTCCCCGCCCTCCTCCCTGCTCCAGCCCTGGTGCCTCTCCTGCGGGCCTGTCTGGCATGTCATGCCTCCTCCTTTCGGAGAAATTAATAAGGTATTTCAGTGGCTTTAGCCTCCCCATGGCATCACTAAGTCACCTCCATCAATTGAAGTCCTGCAGGTACAACTGATGCACCCTGTAGCCCCGCTGTGCCTCCAGGATATCCCGGTGGGATGGGAGTCAGCGCCACCCCCACCTCTGTTCCAGCCACCCGCCTGCAGCCCGAGCCCCAGCTCCGGAGCCTGTACCGATCATATCCTCCTCGCGGTCCTCAAAGCGGATCCTGGTGTTGTACTTCTCCTTCAGAGTCGAGGACTCCAGGGCATCCCTCACCTTTGTGTCACCCTGCAGGGCAAAGCCCCCTTCAGCCGTGCAGACACTGTGAACGGGGGGCTGTCAGCTTTGAGGGGACGTGGGCTGTGCAGGTTCCTCCCAGCCCGGGGCTACCTCCTCGGTCCTGGACATCGTCTGCACTCTGTCAGCCAGGTATGTGAGCTTCCCCTCGCAGTACGCCAGCTTGCTGTTCAAATCGAGGGTGTCGGAGGGCACTTCTTCTTTCTGTAGGCCGGGAGGAGGGTCTCATTTCCCCTCTGGCCCTGCCCAGGGACCCCATGTGTGGCAGCTCCGCCTCACTCCCGGTACCTGGGTTGCAGGCAAGGTGATGCCCATTAGCCGGACATAGAGGTTGTCGATGCCCGTCTGGATGGTCAGCAGCAGCTTCTGGCCCTTGGTCATGTTGCTCTGCGCGAGCTGGAGTCTCTCTTCTTCCTCTTTTAGCATGTCTGTCATCTTCTTCTCAATGGACTTGAAGCTGCAGAAGGCAATAGGGACACAGCAGTGAGGGGCACAGGCCCGAGGGCCATGGTGGGCCACCCAGGAGCCCGGTCTTGAGTTGGGTTCCGTGTTAGAGTCAGGGACTCAGAAGCTCAGGTGTGTGCAAGTCCCCCGGCCCCTCTGTGGGACACACAGGCTTGTTGGCAGTGGGTACACTCCCAGCTCCCAGCCTGACTGCAGCCCAGGGGCCTTCATGAGACCATGGTGGGTGACCCGCAGCCCCGGAAGCCTGGGGCACCTGATGGAGCTAGGCTGCTGGCGGAACTTGAGCACGGCCTCCTCCAGCTCCAGCTGCTTCACCAGGGCCTTCAGCTGCAGCCGCCGCTCCTCACAGTCGTCCATCTGCAGCTCCAGGTTCTCCTCCGTGTTTCTCTGGGCCAGGAAGCGGCCAGCGATGTCCTGGCCATTCCAGGGGAGAGAGAAGCAGGTGTGGGCCAGGAAGGTGGGCAGAGGGGGCTTCACAGAACTGGTTTCTTCTGGGCCCCTCCCAGAGGCTAGTGCACTTTCTTTTTTATTTTTTTTGAGATGGAGTCTCGCTCAGTCGCCCAGGCTGGAGTGCAGTGGCGCTATCTCGGCTCACTGCAAGCTCCGCCTCCCGGGTTCACGCCATTCTCCCACCTCAGCCTCCCGAGTAGCTGGGACTAGAGGCGCCCGCCACCGCGCCCGGCTAATTTTTTGTATTTTTAGTAGAGACGGGGTTTCACTGTGTTAGCCAGGATGGCCTTGATCTCCTGACCTCGTGATCGTCCCGTCTCGGCCTCCCAAAGTGCTGGGATTACAGGCTTGAGCCACCGTGCCCGGCCAAGTGCACTTTCTCTGCACTCATTCACAAGTGTGATCACAGCTCACTGCAGCCTCAACCTCCCAGACTCAAGCGACCCTCCCACCTCAGCCTCCTGAGTAGCTGAGACCACAGGTGTGCGCTACCACACAAACGCTTTGTGGGTGTCATTGCACACGATCCTCATGGCAGGCAGAGAGAGTAGATAACCCCGTGTAGAGATAAGGGGATCATCACTGAGGGGCACTGTGTCACTCGAGTCACTTGTCTGACAGTGGACAAGCTTGTGTCAGGGCAGTGGCTGGGAACTCAAGGCCTGATAATAATAAATGCAGATGGAATTAAGATAAAAGGATTTGGGGCGACCGAGGGAGCTGCCACTTTGTGTGTCCATTCCAGAGCACCTGCAGACCCCAGCCCAGCTCAGCCACCCTCCTGCCATGCTCCGGGAGCGCCAGGGGCATTACCCAGATGTGAGAGGCTCAGCCACCCTCCTGCCATGCCCTGGGAGTGCCAGGGAGCATTACCCAGACATGAGAGGCTCAGCCACCCTCCTGCCATGCTCCGGGAGCATCAGGGGCATTACCCAGACGTGAGAGCACCGTACAGCGCTCTTGACCGTGTCCACCACAGCAGTCACGCCCGCCTGGTATTCCATTTCCGCTGTGGAGGTCTCTTGTCTCCTTACTGGCAGAGCAGAGGGGAGGGGCAGTCAGCATGCAGGGATGGCTCAGGGGCTCTGTGTAAGACCACCGGACACCTCTGTACCTGCCCAGCTGTTGTGGAGGCCACCCAAGGCACAGGCGTCCTTCAGAGGTGCCTGCTCCCCCTCCTGCTCCCTCCTCAGTCCAGCCCTGCAGGGACCCCCCAGGCAGCCCCAGAGCAAAGGCGGACCTGAAATAGCGTGGCACTGTGGGCCCAGTGGTACCTCTCAGAGGCAGCTTAGGGGTCAGGTTGCTCATCCTCTGCCGTCACTGGGGACTGGGCCCTTGGGTGCTGGGGCCAGCATCTCTGAGGCCACATTTGGCTGCAGGCTCTCAGCCTCTCGGGGGAGAGGCAGGGACCTGTCCTTCCCTTCACCCTGGCGACTGCATGTCACACCTGGCCTCAGGCTGACCTGATCCGTTGGCCCGAGCCAGTGCCGACCTCTCCTTGGGACCCTGGCTGGGGGGCAGGTGGGGAGCTGAGCGCTTAAATTTCAGGATCTCCATGCTCATCAGGTTGGAGGGGCAGTCCAAGTCCATCTGGCCCTGATAGGAGGTGGGAGCGGGGAAGGGATGAGACATCCTTGGCAGGGAGTAGGCCCAAGTGGTGGCCTTGAGCCTGTGTCCACCCCGCTGTTGTGGGGATAGGCAGCTGGCTGGGCCCTGGCCTGGGGCTCACCCGGCGGTACTTCTCGCTGGTCTCCTTCGTGTGGATCTTGTCGATCAGCTTCTTCTGCTGGTTGAGCCGGTTCTCCCTCGCCCTGCGCTCCTCGATGAAGGACGCCTCCCTTTGCCTCATGTTCCTCTGGGGACACGTGGGTGGGCACGGGGTTGGGGAGCTGTCTCAACAAGGCCCCTCATGGCACTAAAGTCAGCGGGCAGTTGGCCATCCTCACCTTACTAGACTTCAGAACTGCATCCCCGGCCACTGGCCACACCATCTTCCTAAACCACTCATGCCCATGCCCGTGGCCCCTCCGCTCAGGACCCTCCTTGCCCATGCCTCTCAGAGCATGTGCCAGCCCAGACACTCTGCTGCCCTCCAGCCCCTGGCCCCCAGCTGCCTCCTGGCCAGGTCCACGTAGAACTCCCAGAAGTGGATTCAGCCTGCCTGGAAACAGATTCATCCTCTTCCCCAAAACCTGGCCTCTTCCAGCATGCCCTTGAGTAGCTAAAACCACCATTTGTCCACCCCTGCTCATGCATCCCAGACACTGCTCTCACCCTCACCACTCAACGTTGCCAGTGCTTAGTGGGGTTACCTCTTGAGGACTTCTTGGCTCCGTCACTCCTGGCCACCCCTTCACCACCCCGGGCCTGCCTAGGTGATCAACACTTCTGCCCTGGCACCTTCCAGTCCCCGCAGCCTGAGTGCACCCTTTCTGAAGCACAGACCTGGGTACATCTTCCCTCCACCTCCTCCCAGGGCTCCAGGTCAGTCCTTGGGCCCCCGGCCCAGCCACCTCCATGGACTCCTGGGGCCTGTGCCTCTGCAGCCTTCACTGCCCTGGCCACACACTGCTGCCTGTATCACGCCCCTCCCGGCCCAGGGCCTTTGCCCAAGTTGTACCTCCTCCTCCCTAGCCCTGGCCACCCCTGACCTTTGCGGGTTCACTCCCTCAGCCCAGCTCGAGCACCTGGAAAGCCATCTGCCACCCCACCTCTCTCTGCCAAGCTGGCCTGGGGCTGTGTGGCATTTCTTCATGGACTACTGGATGAGTGCCACCCACTTCAGGAGGACGGGGCCTGCCTGTCCCGGTCCCTGCTGTATACCCAGAGCCTTGCAGGGGCCTTGGCACCCACTGGGTGAATGGGTGACCCCCGCCTTGGCCCGGCCAATTCTCCCTCTTCTCTACTTCATGGCTCCTGTGCCTGGTGGAACCTGCTCTGTCCAATGGGTGAACAGAGCAGGCTGTCCGGGCTGGCCACTGGATCCTTCCAGGGATTGTAGACAGTGTGGGCATGGGGGTCTCCTGAGGGACCCTGACCAGGAAGACACAAGAGAGCCAGCCCTGGAGGGCCCCCAGTCCTGAGCCCTGAGCTCACCTTGACCTCATCCGAAGATGCAAGAGAGCCGGCCCTGGAGGGCCCCCAGCCCTAAGCCCTAAGCTCACCTTGACCTCATCCGTGATCATCATGGCGTCTTGGGACATGATCTTCATATCCGACAGCTCTGCGCAGTAGTTGACCACGAGGTTCTGCAACTTGTCCAGCTCGATGTGGTATCCTGCCAGCACCTGTGTTAAATGAGGTTCTCTTGTGGCCTCTAGAGTGGGCTGAAGTTGTCCCCAGCTTTCATCTCCAGACTAAGAGCCCTCAGAACAGTGATAGGTTCTGCTCTGTGGCCCTGGTCACCTCCCCCACTCCCCACACAAAGCTGATGAAAGGAAGTGTTTCACAGGGAGTGGGCAGTGCTGGGCTGGTGAACTCTTCCACCACCTAGGGTCCAGCAACCCAGAGACACTGAAAGAGTTTGTGACGAAATGATCTGCAGAAAAGGCTGACTCCGAAACCCAGGGAGGTTTGGGGCAGCTTTGCTTTGAAGTGAAGCAGAGGGGCTCAAGACATGGGCTCGGGGTCAGAGAGGATTCGAGGCCAACGCAGCTTCCGACCAACTAGCTTGGCTGTGTGACACTGGGAAAGTTACTTAACCTCTCTGAGTGTCCCCATTTGTAAGATGATAGTTCGTTCAGAAGGTTGTCGTCAGGATGAATTGAGAGTGTGAAAGG